TGTCCTGCACTGCCGTCAGTTTGTTATGCCGACTCTACGGAGTGGATGCTTGATTCGGGAGCTACATTTCACATTTGCCCTAAGAGGGATTGGTTTACCAACTTTGAGGAGTTGAAGAGAGGAGACGTGGTGCTCATGGGGAACGATCACGTTTGTCCTATTAGTGGGATTGGCTCAGTCAGAATCAGAATGTATGACGGGGTGACTAGGGAATTGAAAGAAGTGAGGTTCGTGCCGCAGTTGACGAAGAACATCATTTATCTTGGGACTTTGGAGGCATCCGGCTATAGAGTGATCTTAGAAGATGCTAGTTTGAAGGTCATGAAGGGGTTCATGGTGGTGATGCGAGGTGTCAGGGAAAACAACCTTTACTACTTGAAGGGCAAGACAGTAACAGGGGGTCTGGCAGCTTCGATTACCACAGAGGAAGATACTACCAGATTATGGCACATGAGATTGGGACACACTGGTGATAAGTCCCTGCAGGTATTGGCGAAGCAGGGGCTATTGAAGGGTGCAAAGACCTGGAAGATGGAGCTGTGTGAACATTACATACTTGGGAAGAAGACAAGAGTGAAATTCGGCACCGCTATTCATAATACCCAAGGTATTTTGGAATACATTCACACAGACGTTTGGGGCCCTTCCAAGCACACATCACTTGGTGGGGCCAACTATTTTGTTACTTTCATTGATGATTATTCTAGGAGGAATTGGGTATACCCGATGAAGCATAAACATCAGGTCCTGGATATTTTTGTGGAGTGGAAGAAGAAAGTGGAGCTGCAGACAGGTAGAAAGATAAAAACTCTTCGTTCAGATAACGGTGGAGAGTACAAGAGTGATCCGTTTCTGCAGTTTTGCCGGGATCACGGCATTAGACGACACTTCACAGTACGTGAGACACCGCAACAGAACGGGGTGGCTGAAAGGTTAAACCGTACCTTGTTGGAGAAGGTGCGATGTATGATGACACAGAGTGGATTGTCAAGATCCTTTTGGGCCGAAGCGTTAGTTTATGCGAGCCATCTCGTGAATAGGTTGTCGTGCACTGCGATACAGGGGAAGACTCCGTTGGAGCGTTGGTCTGGTTCGGTAGCTAGTGACTATGAGTCGCTTCGGATATTTGGGTGTCCAGCTTATTACCATGTCAGTGATGGTAAATTGAATCCGAGGGTGAGGAAAGCAGTCTTTGTGGGATTTAGAGATGGAGTTAAAGGCTTCAAGTTATGGGATCCACAGGACAAGAAGATAGTTATTAGCAGGGATGTCATATTTGACGAGGCGTACATGATGAAGCTTCAAGTTCCTCAGCAGGTGGAGGAAGACCAGACAGTTGGGATATCGCAGCAGGTGGAGGATGATGTGACTTCACCAACTTCAGATAGCATTGTATCCATTAAGGCTCCTATAGAGGTGACACTGGGAGGAGATGAGATGACAGCCGGGCATTTAGAGGATACATTAGATGTTGGGACTCAGGAACAGGGTCATGTTCAGGAGTCCATTGCAGCTAATAGACCAAGAAGAAACATTCGTCGACCAGCTAGATATAACGATGTCATGGTTGCATATGCTTTATCAGCAGAAGTCGTTGATGATTTGGTTCCTTTTACATTCAAGGAAGCAGAGTCAAGGAAGCAGAGTCAAGCTCTGATTCGATTAGGTGGAGGGAAGCCATGGAGGAGGAGATGCAGTCTCTTCATAAGAACGACACTTGGGAACTTGCAAAGCTACCAAAGGGTAAGAAGGCTATTGGATGCAAGTGGGTGTATGCAAAGAAAGAGGGATCTTCTATTGGAGAGATTAGATTCAACGCCAGATTGGTTGCCAAGGGATATGCACAGCTAGAGGGCGTTGATTACAACGAGGTATTTTCACCTGTTGTGAAGCATTCGTCGATTCGTATTTTATTAGCATTGGTGGCATAGCTGGATTTGGATTTGGTCCAGATGGATGTGAAAACAGCCTTTCTACATGGAGATTTAGAAGAGGAGATCTACATGACACAACCTATGGGGTTCAAAGCTGCAGGAAAGGAAGAATTGGTATGCAAGCTGAAGAAGTCTCTTTACGGATTGAAGCAATCGCCGCGACAATGGTACAAGAGATTCGACGGCTTTATGATTGGCCGAGGGTACACGAGGAGCCCATATGACCCGTGTGTTTACATGCACAAGCTACAGAATGGTGAGTATATATATTTGCTATTATATGTTGATGATATGCTCATAGCTTCCAGGAATACTTCAGCTATTAGAAAGTTGAAAAGGAACTGTCATTCGAATTTGAGATGAAGGATCTTGGAGAAGCAAAGAAGATATTGGGTATGGAGATCGAGAGAGACAGGGTGAAGGGGAGGTTGAAGTTGACACAGAGGAGTTACTTGCAGAAGATGCTGAAGAAATTCAGTTATGATGGCAATGCCAAGGCGGTGAGTACTCCATTAGCTCCCCACTTTAAGCTATCAGCTAAGATGTCACCTGTTTCAGTTGAGGATCGGGAATACATGTCCAAAGTTCCATATGCCAATGTTGTGGGTAGCTTGATGTATGCGATGGTGTGTACAAGGTCAGATTTGTCACAGGCCGTAAGCATGGTATCTAGGTACATGCACGACCCCGGGAAGGGTCATTGGGAGGCCGTGAAGTGGATTCTACGGTATATCAAAGGTACCGTGGATGTTGGTTTGGTATTTCAGAAAAATGAGAAGATAGGACAGGATTGTATTGGTTACGTGGATTCTGATTATGCGGGGGATCTGGACAAGCGCCAGTCTACTAGCGGATATGTGTTTACACTAGCAGGAGCACCAGTGTGTTAGAGATGCACACTTCAGTCTACAGTGGCTCTCTCCACTACGGAGGTAGAGTATATGGCGTTGACTGAAGCTGTGAAGGAGGCTTTGTGGTTGCAGGGATTATTAGAGAACTTGGGGATCGCACAGGAAACCCTTCGGGTATATTGTGATAGCATGTCAGCTATCTATTTGGCGAAGAACCAGGTTTATCATGCGCGCACGAAGCACATCGATGTCAGATTCTATTTTGTTCGTGACGTTTTGGATGAAGGAGACGTCATGTTGGAGAAGGTCCACACGAAGGACAACCCTGCAGATATGTTGACCAAAGTTGTTTCAGGTGTCAAGTTTGGTCATTGTTTGGAGCTTTTGAACATTCTTCGGTGTTGAGGTCTTTGGAGGCTATTGAGTGAACTACGTGAAGGCTTGATTCCTTGGGCAAGAGGATATGTAGGCAGTCTTTATGATGCAGCCGATTTGTGAGTTGATACCGACATTTGGAGAGTGTTTGCATTCTCATTTGGGTTCTCGACTTATTATGGATTGAGTCCGTTGTCGTGAATTGTTTCACTTCGTACTGGACGCAACAAGTAAGATATTTGTTTTGGTTGGTGTCGGCTCAGTTTTGGGAAAACTTCGCCGAGATGGAGAATTGTGAATGGGACGACATGGTGGGGGCCAACCCACGTGAAGGCTAAGGCTTGAAAACCGTGTGAAAAGAAAACATGTGAGGGCCACATCCCACATCCGGACTCAAGACTCATTCGCAGGTACAGTAAAGGCCCACAACCCGATTCTCTCATTGGCAGCTATATATAGCTGTTTAATAGCAGACCTAGGGCAGCGTGCAAGGGGCTGGGATTGTTTTTGGCGGCTACGAAGAGCAACACAGGGACTTGGCAGCGGCTAATTTTGAAAGCAAAGTCTTTTTTTTGTTGTTCTTTGATTTGTGTACCCCTTTGAGAGAGATTTTGTAAGAGGGATTTGAGAGTTTGTTTGAGAGGGTTTAGAGTTTGTGAGATTGTAAACCCTAGTTGTATCTCTCCCTCTAATAGTAGATCCCCCCCTCCTTGTCCCGTAGACATTGGCTAATTGCCGAACCACGTAAAAGTTGTGTTCTTGTCGTGATTTGTAATAGCTTGTAGGATCCCTCGACAGGTCAGTCCTAGAACTGATGAGAGGAAGAGCCGATATCTCACTTTGATGAGATATCCGCTTTAGATTCTTGTTTCCTTTGAGAGACGAGAATTCTTATCGATCTAATCTCTCTTGTTGTGCTGCCGAAGTGCTGCCGAAATTTCCGCTGCGCACAACAGGACGTATGTCATACTGACCGAACCACGTTAAATCCTTGTGTGTTGTTCTCTTTATCTTCACTGTGTTTATTCAGTATTGTTATTTTTCACTCTTATATAGACATATTTTGTCTCTGTGAAGCTCCCGCTATAACATACATAATAAATTGTTATATCAAAGTTTTCATCAATGAGTTATCGGAAGCATCATAGAGAATACAATTCCACGAAGATGACACCCCGGGAGCATGAGTGAGTGAACTTCAAGATCAATGAATGAACACATTTTAGATAAAACTATTGAAGAAGTTTTTCTTGTCAATGAAAAAAATTTCTTCATTTAACAAATTTGAAAAACTTCTTTCACAGATTGACTTTAGTTTTTTTTGTAACTTCTTCATGGATCGCTTGGAACTTAGCGTCTCTGCATATTCCCGTGAAGCATTTGCGAGTACACCCAAAAAATTGAATGGTGGCATAAATATATTTAGTGAATCGGCACAGTTGTTTCAATAGTCATATCAATCAACAATAGTCAAATGGCATGGATGCTTTACAGGTTACCAAAAAATTTCCAGAAAGATAAATTAATTTTCTCTTCTCTCCATTCTCTCCTTCTTGGTCCTAAAATGATCACGTCGTTTTAATTCTCTACAAGTGCAAAATAGAGGGTTGATAGAAAGTGTGTTATCGATACTTAGTAATTTGTGGAACATTGCATTTGAGTGGAAAAGATATTGATTTAAAATAGCATCAAACGTGCTTCAACTGAAAACTTCTGTAGCTTCCTTCAAATGATATAATGTTTTACTCAAAACAAATTGGATGAAAGCAACTATATGAGTCACAAAGACTAACCATAAATTTTCCATCAAAGATCCAAAACGGACTCCATTCATTATTACCTTAGTCCATGAGAAGTGATTTCTCTTGATTTTTCTCCGTTCCTTAACATGGACAAATCTGTGCTCAATCTTGAAAGGCCCTGTGGTCAAAGACAAAATGACAACTCTGAATGCAACAAAACAAACAGTGTTTTACTACATTACAGGGACAACATATAGCAGGCCTAACAAGTGTTCTAAGCATGAAGCAAAAGGTGATAGAATTGGTATTAGAGCACTGGTGATAGAATTGTATTACAGGGACTATATATCTAACAATATTAACTCTAGAAGTATTGTATTGGAGCACTGGTGATAGAATTCGCCTAGAAGTATTGTATTCCCTAGCACCCAAAGCTTAGAAAGTACCTAGGTTACCCACCTAGGTTTTGGGAATGCCTAGGGGAGCATGAGCCACTTACATAGACCGCACTCTTTAGACATTGACCGTTCCTTCACTGCAGCCTCCACGTCCTCCAAACTCCTATATTCTCCAACTATGAACACTTCCTCTACTTCCTTCGACCTTCAGCAAAATCTGCTCTGCCACCACTTAAATAAAGAAAAAAAAAATCTGCGTAGGGGCTAGTCCGTCACGTACGCTTTCTACAACATTGGCGTTTTGGCACTTATTATTACATTATTGTAATTAAAAAATAAAAATAGAAAAACCTCCTAGGCTCCCACTTAGGCTCCTAGGCTCCCACTTAGTCGCCTAGACTCTAGGCGTTAGGTCCAACGTACAGCTGCCTAGCACTAATAACCTTGGCTTAAGATTTTTATTCAACTTTCATTTTGAGTACCAATTTCCTTACCTTTCTGTCACTTGCTCTATGAGTTGGAAAACCTTCAGGCTGAGGAGAGCATTCAGAAAACTAAATTAATTTTTGGAACTTTCCGTTGCTTCATGTTTATTACTAGAATTAGCTTATGTTTACTTTTCCCATAATATTTTCCTTCCTAAATCTTGTTCTTTTGTTCAACAGTGTTTATTGAATAAAGATAAAGAAATGGCATAGAAATCCAATTTAAGTAGGGAACTGTATTTTAGATATTCTAATGAACTCTTAATAAAAATATAATTTTCTAAATTAAGTTCCATTAGAAGGACACATTAACATGCATTCATATTTCAAGCTTTGTGATCAAACAGTAGTGAAATAGATATCGATTGATATTTGATCAACTCTATAAAAAGGACAGGAGAACATGTGTTCATAATCATGTTACTAGAAATTTATGAGTGAAAATCTGTGTGATTGAAGTTTCAAAACATAAATCGGTAACTACTAACTAGCACCAGAAATATGGATAATCAGAAGGAATAAGTAGAAGTTAAATGACCATTTTACAGGTACAAAATCATCAGTACTAAGAATTAAATGAGTACAATCTTACTATCAACTAACAACTAGATCAGATACTGATAACAGCTGTAGTTGCATTCATTTAGTTTTGCCAAGATGTAGAAACGAGATGAGTATTTTCATGCTAAAAGATTCTGAATACAAAATAAAGGAACAACATTACCAAACTTCGAATTTTACCAACTAATTGAAAAAGCCCACTTAAACCAGCGCAAGCAGGCCCTCCATTTATCCATATTGTCAGAGGATCTTCTGTAGGGCTCCTTTCAGAAGTTGCAAAGTAGTAATATAGATGGCGCTTATGTTCTTGATCACCAACGGTAATATATCTGTTCAAAGTAAATAATAATTAATACACAAACAAGGGCCGATGTATAAGTATAGTTTGCATTGCTTCACAAGAAAAATTTCTTAGTACCATCGGAATTCTGAAATGTAATTGCTACCATTAGAAGTACCACATACCTTGTGTAGTTGTAAAATATTTTAATATGTTCTTCAACTCTATTCTACCCCGTATTGATATATGCATCTCTACAGGGTTTGAGTTCAGAATCGGGATTGAGATAGATATAATGTGTATGATGGGCCAGGGATAGGCATAAGCTTCTGACAAACTATTGATTTAATTTACCCTCATTTAGTCATTTATGAAGCCCTACAATTATCTCACATATTAAATATCGGCATGTCAGTGACTTATCAAGAAAAGAAAGAGGACGGTTACAGACACAAACCAGTACCAGCAAGATTTGTCAAGAAATAAAGAAATTTATCATCTAATAAAATGTTGCAACTCTGGCTGTAATTGGCAAACTAATCAATTTCGAATGTGGGGACTTAAAAGCTTATTAGGAGGTCTGGTAAGTTTTACAATTATGCTATTGATCTCATGAGCAATATCAGACAATTTTTGCATATTAAATACTGGATGTCGGTGGTACATCAATAATAGAAACAGAACATTTTTTGCACGCTAGTCTAGTGATATCACTTACCCAGCATAGTGTTTTGAAGGAAGGAGCCCATCAAAATCGGGAAATTGTTTCACCTCTGCGTTCACTGGAGCTCCACCCGCTTCCCAAGCTAGAAGAGCCGTCATCAGCAGAAAGAGCACAAATGTGGCAACCATTGTTACCGCCTTTTTCTCTTTCTTTTTTTCCCCTCCTGCTTGATACTATTGAATTGGAGAAACAAGGGCAATGGAGATTATATTTGCTTACATATGTAAGAGATTCCAAAATTACTGAGCAAATATAATAAAAGTCCACGACAGGAAGAGAAAGTGTCAATGTGGGGATTCACTCAAGTTGGCAAAAATAAACAGCTTCCTTATTTGGAACGAAAAACGCCTTAGGGACAAAAAACATGGGATCCTACATGGGACATGTGAGGTATCGGCTCCCTGTCTCATGATGCACTGTTCATGAACAGTGCATCATGGGACAGGAAGCTGACACCTAAGGAAGTCAATTTTTGCCCATACTCATTTACCCACCTGGCCCGCCCATCACTTGGCCTGTCCAAAGCCCACCCATTTAATTAAATGTGTCTAATCGAGTGAGTTCATTTCAAATGATACTAAATAGGCACTAAATAGGCGGTGTTTATTCACCTGTTTGCCCGCCCACCCATATTTCCAAAACAAAAACCCTAAAATCGCTAAATCTCTTCTTTTCTCTCTCTAGGGCAGCTGAGCTCTTCCTCCGCCTCAATCCCAACCCCAATCCCTACTCCTCCGCTGCCTCCTCCGCCGCCTCAACCGCCTCTCGAACCCAGAGCCTCCAACGCCGCCTCAACCGCCTCTCGATCCTCTCGAACCCAGAGCCTCTGACACCGCCTCAACCGCCGACGGTAGATGTTGATCTCCTTTTTCTGTGAATATTTTTGACGAGAATTTGACTGTTCCTTTGATGTGAAAATTTTAATTTTTGATGTACTTTTTGAGCTCTTTTACTTGCATACTGATCCAAGGTTGATGTTGCTCTCCTTTTCTGTGAAAATTATACAAGTTTATTGGCAATAATTAGTACAAGATCAATAATCTCTTTTTCGCTAATCACAGCCTACTGACTCCTCTTAACATCTATATTGAAAATAAATGAATTTGCCAATTAATTGCATTCAATTCCTTAGTCCTAAGTATATGATCTATTGTCTAAATCAAAAACCGCTTCTTGAATTCTATATACAATAAATTTTGTATAACAATGGATAGTAACAAAAACTTATGCTTGTTGAACATTTTAAGTATTATGCAACACTCTATATTCTAGGTTTTTTAGATTACAATTATTCCATATTTTGATTTAGTTTCTACAGTTTTAAAATTTTCAATTTATATAGGCTTTATCTTCTAATTTTGAAAGTCCTGTAGTAGGTAAATATATGAGATTTCTTGTCTTAATTTCTAAGATTTGTTCGAAGATCCCTTTTGGTGTTCAAACCTGGTTTTCCTATGTTTGGGATCACTTTACAAATTCTTCATCCTCATATGTTTTATTTTTTGAGGAGAGAGCTCTTTACTGATACATATATGTTTTGTGCCACTTTTATTTTGGGTGGTTAAAATTTAAAAGTTTCTTTATTATGTGTTTACTACCCAAAATTGATATTCTATTATAATTTTTTTTCAGCTATCATGTCTTTAAATGATTAATTTAGCATCCATGATAATGGTAGTGGTGATGAGAGTACTTCTAAACGTAAAGAAGACAAACATCAAAAGTTTGGGATCACTTTATAAAGTTACCTATCGATAATGATGAGAACTATAGTTCAATGTAATGTGTGTAATCATATTTATGTTGGTAGTCACGGCACTAAGACAATGTTGAGACATACGGATTCTTGCCTGAAAAGGAACGTAGATGAGGCTGATTCTTCAAGAAAAAATATGCCACTAAATCAAGAAAAATATAGAGAAATGCTTGCTAGAGTAATTGCATTGTATGGTTATCCATTCACTTTTGTCGAACATTGAGGATACCGTGAGTTGCGTAATTTTTTAAATTCTAAAGTCAAGCATATTTCTCGAAACACTGCTAAAACAGATTTGGTCAAGTTGTACAAGAAAGAGAAAGAAAATCTTAAACAATTTTAAAACTAGTTCCTAGTAGAATTTGTCTAACCACGGATTTATGGACCTCTTCCACCTCCGACAACTATATGTCTCTCACCGTACATTATGTTGATGACTGTTGGATGTTGCAGAATAAGATATTAGCTCTATTTCATGTTCCACCCCCATATAGTGGAGCAATTTTAGTAGAGAAGCTATTTCATTTGTTGAAGGATTGGGGTATTGAAAAAAGAATTTTTACTGTTACTTTGGACAATGCAGCATATAATGATGTTTTCATGAGAATTTTAAAAGACCATCCAGTTTTAGAAGATCATTTTGTTAGTAATGGTGAATTTTAAAAGAATTTTTACTGTTACTTTGGACAATGCATGTACCGTGTTGTGCTCATATTCTAAATATTATTGTGCAAGATGGGCTAAAGGTTATCGATAAACCATTGTCTAAGATAAGAGAATGCATCAAGTATGTGAAGAGTCCTCCCGGAAGGAAAAAGAAGTTTGCAGAGTGCATTGCACAAACTTGTTCAGGTAAAGCGAAAAATTTTAGCCAGAATTCTACGTTTAAAATGTTGGAGAGTGTTTTGAACTTTGGTCGGGCATTTGAGCACTTGGAGTTGATTGAACCAAATTTCACTTTTTTGCCATCAAGTGAAGAATGGGTAAATGTTGAAAAAATTACAAAGTTTTTAAAACCTTTTTATGAAGTGTCCACTCTTTTTTCTGTAAGTAAATATCCAACTGCCAACTTATATTTTGGTGGAGTGTTTAAGATTCAAAAAAGCATAATGGAGGAGATGAAAAGTGATGATCAAGATATATAAACATCCATGGCAAATGATATCAAAATAAAATTTGATAAATATTGGGAATGTTACAGTGTTATTTTGTTATTTGCAGTCATTTTAGACCCCCGATACAAGGTGAAGTATGTAGAGTTTTATTCTGAGAAATTAGGAGTTAGTTCTGATTATGTGTTAAGGGAGCGTTGAAAACCGATATTGTCCGGTGTAAACGTTTTCGGGTGAGCGTTGAAAACCTGGTGTGATAGTGGATTTCTGCTCGGGAGTGGATAGTGGAGACGTAGAATAGAAGGTCTAAACTCCGTGATCATTTCTTGTGTGTTTGTGTTTATCTTGTGCACTTATATTTTGTTTATCTCTATCGTCATTTTCTCATTGTCTACTTTATCCACTATATTGTTTGTATTTGTTTATAGTTTACTTTTGTTTGTATATCATTGCATATATATCTTGTTACATATCTAATTTGCTAGGATATTTGTTAATTAGTTTTTATTAGCATTAAATTAGATTAGATTAGTATAAACCCTATTCACACCCCCCCATAGGGTTCTTTTCTAGTGGCATTAGGGTACTAAGGGCATCTCCAATAGCTTCTCTAAATTTTTTTCTAAAATGGGGAAGCAAAAGTCATATTCTTTAAATTATTTTTACACCAACTCCAACAACTTCCTCATTTTGAAGAATCCATTTTTTCCTCCAAAAATTTAGAGAATGCTGCAGATTTGGGGAAGCTTCCTCATTTTTTCTCCTCCATCCCTATTTTGGGGAATGAGATGGAGAATCTGTTGGACCAAAATCCTAACTAAATTCTCCAAAAGTGGGAAATAGGAAAGCTGTTGGAGATGCTCTAACAATTGGTATCAGAGCTTGGTGCTCTTTGATTAGAGGTTTAACCGCCTAGTCAAAGATCCTCACTTTGATTTTGCTAATCTAGTTTTGAGATTTATTATATCTTGCTTGCACTTTTTTAATCATGGATATGCACGGTGCATCTAGTTTAGGCTATGATATTAAAGTTACTCTATCTTTTAATGTTTTCCCCTGTGCACAATGGTGTTTTAGATTTAAAATATTTGTTAGATCTAAAGATATTGAATTGTGGAAAGCCATTGATCATGCTTACGTTGTGCACTCCTTAGAGAAATCCAAGTGGACAATCATGATAGAAAGATGTTTACTATGAAAGTTAGTGTTAGAATTTATGCTTAATGCTTTTGAATAATCTATTTCTAACAAACTTGTTCATTTTGATAGTGCTTACAAACTATAGAAATTTATAGAAGTGCATCAAGGAAACTTGGAGGAGATCTAACGTGTGTTGGCAGATTCTACTTCAAGTGAGGTTGGAGCATCATCATCATGCACACGACCACTAGACGATAGCCCTAGTGTGGTAAGCGATTCGAAATCCGATAGTAATATAACCATTAATGAACTCGCTTGTGCATATGATAGGTTAATGCATGCCTACACCAAGTTGCATAATAATTTCATTAATTTAAAACGCAAGCATGTTGCATTAAAATTCGATCATGAGGAGCTAGTGTCAAATTTTAATATCATTGCAAAAGAAAATACTAAGCTTAAAGAAAACAATGACTTGTTAAATTTGGAAAATAAAATATTGACCTTGTCCATTTCTAGCTTATCTTATGCTAAGAATAATGCCATATTAGAAGTAGAGAATATTAGAAATGAGTTTAATTCTTTTAGAAATGATCATATATGTTCTACTTCTAATATTAATGCATATGTGCCTAATGATAAGTTGAATGATATTAAAAATTGTACTACCTCTTTAGATTCAACTCTTAATTCATGCATTGTTAATTATAAGAAACTTGTGGATATGTGTGCCAAGTCTAATACAAAATCATCCATTCATTATGCACACATATATAGCAAAGTTTATAAGTGCTCCATTTGTGATCGTAAAGGTCATTTATCTAAATTTTTCTATGATGCACACAAACATAAGAATTCTAAAGCTTATTATGCATCTCATCAAGTTTCTTCATCACATACACATGTACATGCACACACTCATAAAGTTCATCATATCTTCATCACATACACATGTACATGCACACACTCATAAAGTTCATCATAAGCATGCTCATGTGTTTAAATGTGATCTTTTCATCATAAGCATGCTCATGTGTTTAAATGTGATCTTTGTGGACGTTTTGGCCATTTGGCAAAATTTTGTTATGATTTAAAAAAGACTTCACCTTTGCCAAATAAT